CTGTGGAGCCAGCCAGACCATTGGAGGTGATATCTCTGCAGACACAAGCACACACCCATTACCGTGTGGTGACATTTGTTTTAACAACCTGTAGTGATATTTTTAAGGAGTCTGCAGTGACTAGTCAACATTTATCAGAAGCTTTTGTGGCTGCACAAATAAACAGCTGATTGTTGGAGCAGTTTACTCACCTCCGCTGATGGCTGATTAGACTTCTGCCTTTTCTCTGTGGAGTAACAACAAATATAAAAATGAAAACCCACTGTGTCAAATATTTTTAGTGTCTGATTTTAAATGTCACACTTATAAAATGATCTTATTTTAACAGCTCTGAAACATGCCAGAGGTTGACCAAACAGCCTGTGCAGCCAAAAGTTCGTTGGGCAGCAGTTTTCTGCGTTAGAAGCCTCTGACGCAGTGTTACTGGTCAACACAGAAACACAGGTTGGTTATTTAAATGAACAAAACAAATCCATAAACAGAAATATCTGCAGAGACTCATGACAGTCACACAGACTCAAACCATGGTGATATTCAGACGATAAAGTACAATAAACACGCACTGGATGGTCTTTGAGGAAGTATCAGAGTCAAACTGAAAAAGAGTCTTTATGTATCAAAAATAATACAGCACACTCACAGTGATTTAAAACACCTGAAGGTTATTCCCTGTTTTTGTGTTGTTGTTGTGGTGAGACGCCTCCTCATCCTGTGTTATTTTGGCTGGACTTCCTGTTTTTCCCTGTTTGCCTGGTCTGGCTGTACTCTTTTCCAGAGCTTCCTCCCCTCCCCCGGCGCTAAGGCTGAGTGAGACGACACACCTGCTCCTCATCTCCAATCAAGGGACTTTAAGAAGCCTGCAGCCCTCAGTCTCAGCGCCTGAGTATTGTCTACCCTTCCTAGCGGTACAGACGCATCTCCTGGCCTTCGTCGTTGGTATAACGTTCTGAACTTTACTCCTTGTGACTCTTTGCATGTCCTTTAACTCCTGTCTCCTCTGGTTTCTCCTGCAGTGTCTCCAGCCCACACGACAGCCAGCCAGCCAGCCAACCAGCCAACCAACCGGACTTCCTTTGTTTCCTTATCTATCCCTTTCTGTTTTTGGACATTAAATTCGTTTTACGTTGAGCTCTGTCTCAGTGTCTGCTTCTGGGTCCTCACTACAAGCCTGCCTCACAACAGTTGTTATTGATAAATGAACCCCCTCTTTGTTCACACTTATTAATTAAAAACTTAAGTGCTGAATCTCTTTAAGTTGACACAGCGTTTTTTAAACAAAGCTTTTTTTAATGCATATTTTCCTGGAAAGGCCTCATACAAAACATGTTTTTCCTTCAATTTCAAACACAGTAAATTAAAATGGTCTTTGTTTCCCTTACTGGGAATTTCCCCTTGTGGGACTAATAAAGGAGTATCTTATCTATCATACCTGACTTTACTAGTTTTTGACTAGAGACTCCCAGTAAGAGCAAACGATGATAAAACTTCTTTATTTCATTTAGTGTTTTTACACATTTCCTTTGTCTGACTGATTAATTGATCAGTAAATGTCTTATGTGAAGCCTTTGAATTGTCTTATTCAGTTAAAATAACCACTGATATGTACAACATAAATACGTGTGTCTTGTGACAAAAAGAGTATGAAACACAGTGTAAGTCCAAAATCAAATCCTAAATTTGCGAATCTTTAGATTTTTGCTGGCACTGTCATAGATTTAACTCTGAACTGTCTCAGATTATAATCTGCTGGGAGGTCTCTGTCATGTTTCAAATGTTACACTCTGCATATTAAATGCAAAAGAGGTAAAAGATTGTTTTAGAGACACATTGGTAAACTACTGTTTAATGTCACACCCCTATAAATTTGAGTTTGCATTTTACTGTCATCGTAAGTTAAACGTGTTTCTTACCTCCTGTTGAAGCCCGAGCACGCAATCCTCGGAGCTTCTCCTTTTACAGGAATGGGTTGACTCTTCTGTGCAGATTTAAAGAAGAAATAAGAAAGCATTGGTTAGTATAAAAGAAACTGTCAAATAAGTTTCAGACTGACGGCTTTAAGTAGCCCCGAAGACATAAAAAATCTCTTATAGAGATTTCTCACAATAACATGAGCTTTTCTGCTCTTAAGCACGAAGAGTCTTTGACATCCGAACGTCTAGACTTTTAACTCGCTGTTGTGGCCACATTTTTTGGAGTACAGACATGAAAAACAGATCATTGTGTTCATGAAGGGCGGAGGATTCATACGATGTTCTTATTTTCATTCTGGGATATAAGGAAATCATGCTATGTGAAGAAGTCCAGAGGCAGCTTCTCATTCAAACAGTAGGTCAGTTAATGCCTTTGATCTCACAGCTGTTTAGGATGCAATCATTAACGAGACACACACAGTCTGACAATGTGTGTGCATGTGTGTCTGTGTCTAAAAGACCTGCATGTGCACACAGTTAATATGTGTCTGCATCACCACCTATCTCCACCCACAAACTTTGAGCTACAGAAACCATTCTGGGCTTCAAAAATTCAGCTCATTGAGGACATTATGGGGTGTACTAAGAATTTTTCTTATTAAACTTTTCCCCACTTTAAAATTATTCTCATTATTCATGCATTATTGAATTCGTCAGACAAATCCAAACTCATTCAAACTGACTCAAACCTTTCTGATACTTCAAACCTGTTTAACACAATTTTTCCCACTTCAAAATCATTCTCATTATTTATGTATGTTTTAATTCTTCAAACAAAATCCCAGTTCTACCACTACAATTACTACTTATATCACTTTAACTTGTATCTTCACTTCTACCTCCACTGCTCTTGCTTCTCTTAATATTTTTTTTTACTTCTACCACGAGCTCTACTGCTTTGACTTCTACTTCTTCTATTCTAAAACTACTTCTACTGCTTACGTGACTACTAATATCACGAGTACAACTACCTATTATCATACTTCTTCTAGTACTTCAACTTAAACTTATGCCGCTTCTTACTTTTCTGTGTTTTCAGGTAATTTTTTTCCTTATACATTTTTTTTTTGCAATTTCAGACAGTTTTTCTAGCCTTATTTAGCATGAATGCAATTTTAATGTATGAAGCACATTCATACTATTTGTACTTCAGCAATTTTCACTTTCATCTAACTTCTACTTTTCTTTCTCCAGCTCTTTAACCAATTTTACATTTAAACCTTCCTCCATTTTTTTTTAGTAGTTTAGCATTGCTTTTTCAGCTTCCAGCACTCAGCATTTCCACGCATTTTCTGCAAGGAAATGCAACTTTTTTCTAGTTTTGATAATGCCTGTCACATTAAAGTCATAAACACTGTAAATATCTATGCACACGTTTAATCCTTGTCGATGCATCGCTTAACCATCACGAAAGTCTCGACAGTAACACAAGTTTGTATGCTAATATTGTCATAAAATCTTACGGTCTCCATGTCGTAGATGTTGTCCTCTCTGTTCAGGTGTTGGTTAGAGGTGTTAGTCCGAGTCCTTAGTCGTCTGGGGAGGTTTTATTTACGATGAAGCCGTCAAAAGTTGTAAATTCGTGAGCCGCTTAAGTTTTTCGTGCTGTTCTCTTCAGATTTGATCTTCAGAAATGACCGCTCTCCTTTGCTTGTAATGATTTAAAGTTTTTACATCGTTACAAGTTACCATGGAGATTTAAAATGCTGTTTACTTTAGAAAAACCCTTACACTGGTAGGTTATATCTGAAAGTTGAATATTATCTTTAATTTACTTTAATCTCAATAGAATATAAATATCTCTTGAAGTAAAGTGGAGGTTATTTTTCGTCAACTAGTTTAAGAGTTTAAAAGCATTTTAATTTAAAAACCTTCCTTATTTCGGTACAAAACGACAACGTTTTGAAAACTATAGCTAAGTAGGCCTTTGTCTCATAGGTAACCCAACAAAAACTGGAAACTTTGTGTTTCATTATGAATTCCACTGAAGCCTTTACTTCAATTAAATTCAGTCGAAGAAGGCTACTAAAAATAGTCTGTATATACTCCTATCATGTCAATATCTTAGAGCAGTAACTACATCTGTAAAGCACTTTGTCCCCCTGTTTAAAAAAAAAACCCAAAGTTGATCATTGTCATTGATTATTGTTTATACAGCCTAATTGTAGGCTAAGCTAATGTGTATTCATGCCACTTCCTGAACGCAGGGTGATGGGGTGGGGAAGGAAGGGGAGGCCTGTCACTCATGGCAGACCGCGCCCCTCTCAGTCGAGGCCCGCCCCCACGGAAAAACAGGGTCAAAAGTGAACCTGAAACTTTTCAAGTTGAATCCGAAAAAAGATCTGAATCTGAAAAATAAAAATCTGAAACCGAAAAAAAAACCAACGTTTTGAATCCGTAAAAATAAGATCTGAATCTGAAATAAATAAATAAAATTCAATCGAAAAAAAAAAGCTCTCCAAGATCGAAATATACATTGAAGTGAAAAATATAAATAAGTAATTTATTCAAAAGTATTAAAAAACAGAATCAAAGTTACATTTGAACAGATTTTTTTTCATGCATTCTGGATGCATTCTGCATTCAAGTTCAATTTCGAAATTCAAGACTTTCAGGTACCATTTAATTTTTTTTCAGGTTCAAATCTTATTTTTCCACTTCACTTTTTATTTTTTCACTTACACTACTTTTCAATACTTTTGAGCCTGATCTGGCTCCATAGTTTGGATCCTTGTCTTAGGTAAGCAACCTCAGCATAAATGCTGTGAATGATGGGAATTTATGCTCTTTCTGATTGCAACAATTGCAAGTGCAACGACTATTAACTTCACATGGATAAACAGACCTGTGCAAAAATACAATGAACCATGGTTTTGAATCACCCTAAATCACTGCATGGAAAATTCCCTCACTATGATAGCATTTAAAACTATCATCAACATGATCACTATAACTGTGATTTAAGTTAAAAACATGTCATATTTTTTACAATAGAAACTACTCAGCAAGACAGGAAGTCTGAAATCTTTAAAATAATGATTTTATTGATACTGCACCTTTAAAAACAAGGGTATGAGAAGTCTCAATCTGTTACTGGTCTTTGATAACAATAACTGATCTCTTAAAGCTGAGGGATTTTCCTCCTATTTAAAAAATATATATGGGGAGACAGAATTGTCAACACAATGCGTTACAGTAACTCTGCCCTGTATAATAACTTCTTGTTCATTTAACCAACAACACTATTCTAGAAAATAAACTCCAATCAGGCTGTCGTTCTTAAAGATGTAAATGACATCAAATTAATTTTAGATGAAAATAACATGACAGTACTTGTTCTTTTGGACCATAGCTCTGCGTTTGACACTGTCAGTCACAACATTTTAATCAACAGACTCACAAAGTGCAGGCATCTGGTAGTGTTTTACCCTGCTTCAGTTCATATTTTTTTAACAGACCATTTTTTTTTATCAGCCTCTGTTCCCATGTGTCAGACACATTAAATATGGTGCCGCTCAGGAATGCATTCCTGGATCTATTTAATTTTCACATGCTTCCACACGGAAATATTATTGCACATCAGCTATCATTTTTGTGCTGATGACAGTCAACTTTACATATCTGTTTCAGTGCCCTTCAGTCTCTTTTGTCCTTAGTGAGTACAGTGAAAAATGCAGAGGATGGCATAATATGACAAAAATACAAGCGCTTTATTGATTCCCAACAGGAAATTCATAACAGATGACTTAAGAAGAAAAGGATGGCTTGTGTTTTATCGTTTGCATTTTGCTTTGATTGTAACACTGATTGTGAACAACCTAAGTTTTTATTTTAAAATAAACAGGGAAAACTGATGTTGAACCATTACTATAGGAACTGTAAAACTTTCCCTTTGAGAATAAATAAATAAATAAATCAATAAAGTATTTTTGCTGCATTACACCATCCTCTCCATTTGTCCCTGTACTTAATATCAGGTCTACATCCTTTCCTTTCTCTCACAAAGTCTTCTGCTCCAGGGCTTGTAAACGTGATGCCAGTGCTGACAGTATCTTGCGCAGCTTCTCCTGGTGCTGGGGGAACTCCTGACACACACGATGCAAGATGGCATTGGTCGTGTGCAGACGCTCCATCTGTTTCTGCAGGGAGGATTCAATGGATTCAGGGGTGGACATGGCTCGGTAGCTGCCCTTGCTCACCTCCTGCAGCCTCTTGCTCCTACTCTGCAGAGTCACCAAGTGGGACAGGTTCTATAGGCAAAGAAAAGGTAGATAATGAGTGTTGATGTGTTGTCACTTTTCTGAAAATTTCCAACAGTGCCCCAGAGGGTGAACAAACGACAGGCAGCTATGCCTGCCATTCGAGGTGTGTGGTTGTGGCTGTCATGGGTGGAAACAGTGATGCACACATCAATAAATCAACAACATGATGTACGTTATAAAATAAACATTCTCAGCACACCTTTGTTCGCGCTTTATCATGTCTACAGACAGAGGCCGGGTTGACCGGTGTTTATGTCTTAGACTGGCTGACTTGTTACTAGCAAACAGCTATGTTGACAGTGTTAAGAAGAATTGCTGTGGAAATGGTCAAAACATGTAATTAATTCATATACTTGACAAAATGAATATCATTTCTAATCCATCTGTGTAACTGACAGTGCAAATATACTACTATTCGTAATCCAGTGGTACAAACCAACGAAGTGATTTAATTTTGATTGAGACATTTCTGCGACAGAATATTTTTAGGCTGTTAGTCCTATCTGACTTTTTATTTCTACTTTTCTACATAAATACTGGTCTCTTTACTGGTCATCTTTGCACTCAATAACCAAAAAAGGACCATGTTGGATTTAAGTATTACAAAACCTTTCCAAAAACCTTTCCTCCTTCATTTACAGGAGAAATTATGAAAAATATGAAATGATGACCACAAATTTCATTGCAGTTTCTGTGGAAATAACAGGTATGACTGCACATGTGTAGAAAAAAGGAAACTGCATGACTATTAGATAAGTGAATTTCCTCTCAGGGATGAATAAATTCTTCCTATCATAACTTACCTTATCATATTTTATCTTATCTAATCTAATGAGTTTGTTGGTATGATTGTTTTGTGGTTAATTTAAAGATGCAGATGCAGATATATTTCTCTGAAATGACAAATGTGATTTATTCCACAACTGTTCTCTTTTGGTTGCTCAATTCGGACCCTTTGTGTTTTCTGAATAATGCAATGTCTTTTTAGCTGGAGTTTGACAATAACTTTGTGTAAAATATGAACAGTTATCATTCTGAGACTGGCAGAATTTGATTTAGGAGCCTGCTTCTAATCAAAGCTTGTTTCATATAAAGGCCTGGTACCTGAGGCAGTACAAATGAATAAAAGACCTATATTAAAAGACCTATAGGCCTAAGAGGCCTGTATTTGAGAATTTACGGTGGACTAAGGCTATGCCGAAGCCTAAAAAAAATACACACAGTCACTAAGCGCATTTAAGACGACTGATATAGACATCTACGTGGCAGTAAAAATGTTTGTGTTGTAATGCAGTGCACAATACTGGAAGTGCTTCTTACGCTGTCTTTGGTGTCCCGGAGATTTACAATTTCATGGTCCAGCATGGAGTTGGTGCTGCGGAGATCTATCAGTCGTTGCTCTTGCTGCAGAAGCCTGTCCTTGAGACTGACCTGGCTCTCCTGTAGGTCCCTGATCATTTCCTCACACTTGGCTTCACGCTGCAATTATACAAACTGCTTATCAGATAATTTTGCCATAATTTCGCTCCATCTATGAAAGCAGAAACAGAATTCCAGTGTCATACTTTGTGTGCGTCCTTGATTTTGCGCTGCAGGCGCTGATTGACAAGGGGGTTGCTGTTTCTGGTCGTTTTTTTGGGACTGTTGGACATGGCCTTACAGCGCTCCATCAGGGCTGCCCTCCTTTCTACCAGTGCTTCACTCTCTCGGACAAGCTGCCCCTGCCGCTTTGTCAGCTGGTTGATTCGCAGCTGCACAAAAACACACACACTCTTAAATAAAGTCAATGTATTTTTAAAAAAGCTCCGAAACAAAAAGAAAAGCACAAAGACCAGACTTTAATGTCTAACGAATAAAACTTTCAACAGAAAAAATTTCAACAGAGGTTAAACCATTCGGTTTGGTCACACTATGCCACTGAGTAGGTTATCAAGAGACTCTAAGACTGCCAATGAGTAAATTTTTTGAACTGTGTATTCTGTTACTGTGGCTTTCAAAAAAGTGTTATGTCTACATTTAAGACGTCAAGAAATTCTAACCAGTGTCTTGATTTGAGAATCCAATCAATAATCCAATATTGTCTGAATCCTCCTTTGGCCACGGCTGCCAACACAAACAAGAAAACGAAGTGGGTGATAACTAGCGCTTAAAATGGAGGTAGACCGGACAAGTGCAAAAAAGCCAGGTCAACATCAATGAAGCATCAACGATGGGGGAAGCTGCAGGATCTTACGGACTCTGTAACCTTTCTGCTGAACAGGTAAACCGCTTTAACAAAGTAAGCCAAGTGTCTGTAACAGAAGTATTTCTTGTCAAACGGGACCTGCTGTGTGTTGTAGCGCCGCTAAACTGTTTACCCCAGGTCATGGAGTATGTCACTTCTTTATCCTAGTTGTAGAAGTCCTGCAAACGTGTTTGACTGGGCCCAGTTTGTAATTATCTGAAGTATTTATCTGCATTATATCTGAATTTAATTGGAAAGATACGAGCGAACAGGAGCATCTGTTTGTGGGCAGGGCTTGCTGGAGCAGAGAGGGAGGGGAGAGGAGGAGCTGAAGGGAAAACTGGTTGGAAGGGGTAGTGTTTACATTCAAGATTTCCTCCAAAAACTGGCACTTCCTCAGATCCTGCCTAACCCACCTTTAAAAGAACCTGGGCAAAAGGATAAATAAAGTTGTATCTAATCTCATCTCGATCTAATCTTTAAGTTTCATAACTTAAAGACATGCTGCACTCCTACTCAACTGTGGTCTTGAACATGACAGCCCCAAAGTGTTTGACCCACAGCACAAAAAAGTGCTTTGCTGGCTTTTGTTGATGCAGTTGCTAACAGACATTCGACTGACAAGCTGCATATATATGCTTAACTCCTTGATGGTAAGTTTTCCAGTGATATATTAATACGATTTGACATAATGTGTAAATTACATTTGACGTGTCATCAGACCAGTTTGGGACTTTTTTGAAGTGAGATATTCAAAAGTGCAGTGGGGTAAGAAGATGCCACAGCGGCTGAACTATGGTGTGTGGAAAGGGGCAAAATAGTACTAAATAATAACAATATTGTGTTAATATTTTTCCCTAAGTCCCAGTGTGATTACACTGACATCACGTATATCAGAAAATTTGGTTTAAAATGCAAAAAGAAATTTTTTTAGAACTTTTCTATTTGTTAATATGTGATGTTAATGCAATCTGTCAATACTCTAATTTAAAAAAAAATGAATAAATAAATTTTGATGTAGTATCCTTCTGAGAGTATGTCTACGGTACAAAACCTTTCCTCCATGTAAAAAAGTTGTAAATATGTCATATAAGTTTATGCAAAGTGGAGAGGTTTGGGCATTTGTACTGAAATAAAACTGGTTTTGTTTTCACAACAGCATAAATACAGAGAAGAACAATGTGCTTCTAATTACAATGCACAAATAATTTCTAGTTTTTTCAAGCTTTAGGGTTTTTATTTACGTACATGGCTTCTTAAAATTTGACTTCCGCTCTAAAAATATTTGGCACATTTAAAAGGAAATATTGTTAATAAAACAACAAAATATAACAGTTTACTGGCATCATTTGAAGCATTATGTGTTAAAGGTTTTACCTTCTTTTGGCGTATCTCAGCCTTCATTGTACGGATGTCTCCGTGGTACATCTCTGCGTCCACAACAGAACGAGTCTCTTTAAGAAGCTGGATCTTCCTCTCCCACAGCATGATCTGCTGACTGTCAACCACACACACAGAACAAAGAGTGCTAGTAAAAATCAGAACCAAAGTATTAGCCCACTAAAATGAAAAAAAAACTGATAGACGGGGCTGTGGACATTAATTTCAGATGACTTTACCGTATATTTTTTGTATATATATATATATATATATTTTGGATGAATCACTAAAGTCACCAATCCTAACTTTACAAATTCCCTATTTATCTGTCTACATTTGAAGTATTGTGGTGTAGCTGCTTTCGAGTCAGTTACCTAAAAATAACCACAAGCCTTAATATGACAAAAATCTGTGAACAATTGACTGCCATACAACATAAAATGAGGATAAAATAAAAAACAAAAATATAAATGTGACCTACTCAGCCTCAAGCAGACAGCTGAGGAGTCTCTCCTTTTCCTTCAGGATCCTCTCGTGTTTCATCTGCATCTCTGCGGACTCCTGCTCAGCCTCCTGAAGGCATTTTTACCACATTTAAAATGACTTTCAAAAGCATTGTGCAAAAAAAAGAGAGAAAAACGAAGATCATTGGGCTACGACATGCCTTGAGTCTTCTCATGAAGTCTTTCTCTGTTAGTGCATTCTCCTGCTTCAGTGCCTTGCTGAGTCGTTCATTCTCGAACAGCTGTGTGTCAAGCTTCAGCAGGTCTCTTCTCAGCAGCTTTGTATTTTTCTCCAGTTCAGTCTCATCGTGCCGCTCTGCTTCTGTCTGACCTGGAGGGATTTGAGATGGTTCAACATCAACCTCACAGAATTTGGACATGCTTGCCTTTTGAAAAATGTCCTCGTTTTGAAAATTCAAATTTCAGACTTCTCTTAATATTATTTGTACACACCAAAGGGAAATCAGCAACATTTATTTTTGGGGAAAAAAAAAGATGTTAAAATCCAGAAGAAACAGGAGGTAATCTGGCTGAAGTGCGTGTTTAGATATTTACATTCAACTGCCAATCTTAACTTCCAGCCTTGCTCACTCAACCACATAATTTGCACTGCTAATACAATCTTTTAATCTCTGCAGAAATGATAAAGAGAAAAGAGAGCAGGTGGAGTAGCCCAGAAACATTTCATATCTGCAATAATCCCATGCCTGGGAGTTAGCCTACTAGAATCAATGTCATGTTTGCCTGTACCACGTAGAAACCCAGGGTTGGTGTAGGATGAAGAAGGCAAAGTGACAGCACATCTTTATGGTATAACTCTGAATGTCATTTGGATGTCAGGCTAAAATGATTGAATATCAAGAACATGCTTTTAACATGTGTACCTTTCAGTGCATTTGTTTGTTTCTTTGTAAATAGTGGTGTATCACTCACTCTCAAGGTAAATTGTCTTCTGCTGAATGTCTATGAACTCTATCTGCAGTTTGGCTATATCTCTGCTGTTTGCTTCTTTTTCCTTGTTCAGTATTACTACTGTCCCCATCCGTGTCAAAAGGAGCTGCTGGACACTCTGGATTTTTGCTGCCACCTCCTCAGTCTCAGCCATTAGTGCCCTTATCTTGATCTCCATGGGACTGAGGTCTCCATGCTGTGAATGAATACAAACAAATCAAACAGAGAGCATGTGATGTGTAATCAAATGCAAATAAATCCATATTTCACACTAACAACTGCAAACAGGGAATGCTTCTTCTTGAGATTCACTCACCCCAGTCCTGGCTGTGATTTGATGGATCTGTTTATAATAGTTAGCTTTGATAGTGCCCTGTCGCTCAATGAGTGTGAAAAAAGAAGAACGCTTTCTTTCATTGGCTGCCAGTAACTTGGTCTTCTCGGAGATCTGGTCATCAAAGTCCTTCTGGATGACGGCCAAGCTGCCCAGATGTTGGCTGACCTTGTTGTTCTCCAGTTCCACTGCCCCTATGTTCCTCTCCAGCTGCCACAACTGAGAGATCTGAGGAAAAAATGCAACTGTCTTCTTTATCCTTATCATACAGTACATATGTATTTTGTGCTGCTGAGCATGCTCCTCCTCACTCATTCAGGCGTCATGAGGTCTCTCAACATAAATGACATGAAAAAATACCCTCAAACAGTTCATGAGAAATGACTGAATCAGACTGATATGTGTCTATAGTTCTGTCTCCTCTTGGCTGTATCAATAGCAACATTGACGACACTGAGAACCTGGATTTGCTCTTTCTTTTCAAGGGCATTATATTAAGACAGAGTCACAGTCACAAATACTATTCTCAGCCTAAGTCAATCCTTAAGTGTGTGTACTAAATGAACTTCTTTGAATGTTCTTTTCCCAGTATTTAGCATGTTAGGGCAGAAGCACCCCAAATGACATATTCATGAAAGCAAAGGCGTGTTATTTTGCACATTTGAAATACACAACCCTCACTGCCTGCTCTCCATAGATCAGCTTGTGTGTTTGTGTGTGGATGCTTTGAAGTTAATTCTACAGGTCATTTAGATCTGGAATTCTTGTCAAGTTCACTGTGAATTTTTATGAAGACATTCCCGTTGAATATTGCTGCACAGTTACCACCAATTTGCATCACACAGTTAAAATTTTACTCTCACTGCTGCAATGAGGACCTAGAGCCTGTGAGTTAGATTTTTTTTTTTAATGAAGCTTATTTCCATAAAAAGGAGACAATAAACAACTCTTTGGGTGTTCCTACTCTGAGTGTTTTTTGAGTACCTTTTCCTTCTTTAGTGCAGTCATCTTGATGGTGAGTCTTTGGGATTCTTTTGCAGCTTTGTTATGGGTAAGCTCCTGCATCATATGCTTCTTTATCTTGTCCTCTAACTCCAGACGCACAGCTCTCTCTTTCTCTAACTGCTTCCTCTGATCATCCACCTGAGCCTGATAAGTGCTGCTTTCCTAAAACGAAGAAGAAGGAAAAAAAAAAAACAGTGTGTAATAGTTGCAGAGGACACGCCTCTGGGAAATTTTGTTGCAGAGCTGTTGAAACAAAAAGCCAGTGTCCTATGGCTACCTCAGACAGCACAGCAAGAGTGTGTTCAGTATCCCCCAGGCTGCGACTGCAGGTAGTGTAGTGTTGATGTAGGGCCTCTTGCTGGGCCTGCCTCTGACTGATCTGCTTTTCAGAGGTGGTAACTTTCGTCTGAGTCCAGTTAAGCTGCGTGATGAGTGTCTCGTTTCGCTCACGTTCTTTAGAGATAGATTTCTTGTACCCTTCAATCTCTCTGTCCAGCAAGACCTCCTGGGCTGTGACAGTCCTGTGAAAACAAAAAAAGACTGAGCCAACATTCATTGTTTTTGATATGCTTATCTACCTCTCTATAAAAAGTGCTCTATACCCATCACTACGTCAATGTTGCCTTAATATGGAGGCCTGAGCCGCATTAACTAAATATTATCTCCATTTTTTGCTTTGTTCTCAATTCGACAAACCAAGACTCTCTCATTCAGAAAGCCATCATAGTTATGATGATGATGTTCATCAAGGATTTCTTTAGCAGTATCAGTTACATTTATTCAAGGGGAAACGCTTTGACCAAAATGATGGAAATCAAATGGAGGTATAGTCAGCCTTTCTTTGGAACATTCTTACCCCATGGCCCCTTGCATTGCAGAGTAGGCTTCCTCTCGTTTTCTCAGGCCTGTCAGACTGCTGTTACACTGCTGCAGCAGCTCCTTACGAGTCATCGCCAGAGACTCAATTTGCATCTCAGCCTGCACACAGACAGAAACTCCAGATCATATATTTTGAGACTGATGTGTAGCTACTTCTTCAACAAGTATATGTACAACCCCAATTCCAAATATGTACAGATTTGATGGTTCGCCAATCATCACAATAAATAACGGAAAATAGTGCAATGAAAACGTATTAAATGTTCAAACTGTCATTTTTTTGTTTGTTTGTTTTCTGAAAATTATATGCTTATTTATGTAGTTTTAGTAGTAGCAGTAAAGAAGACCACTCTATGAGAGACTGGATGAACAAATTGTTTAACAATTTCAGAGTAATCCCACTTCAGTATGAAACTGCAAAGAATTTAGGGACACTATCATCTCAAGTGCATAAAATCATTTGAAAAAACAGAGATTTTTTTTTTAATTCTGTCTGCATGAGCCCATGCAAACATATTCCAAAACCAGGGGTGACTTCTGTGGGCTCAAACCCTTTTAAGATGGACTGAGACAATGGAGTAAAGTAGGAAAATTGTCTTGTGGCCTAATGAATCAAAATCAGACATTCCTTTCAGAAATCATGGACTTTTAGCCCTCCGCTATTCATGTTAGAGCAACCACTTCACTTGTTTTCATTTCCAAAAGCATAATCTGTGATGGTACAAGGTGTGAACAAGGTTACACATCTGTGAAAGCCCCATTCTTACTGAATAACAGGCAGGTTTCTGCCATCCAGACAGTGTCTCTTTAGGGTTAGACTCTGCATATTTTAGTCAGATAATGCCAGTCCACGTCAGCATGGCTCCACAGTCAATAAAGCTAGGTGTTTAAGTGGTCTTTATGCAGCCACGATTTCTCACCCATTGAAAACATATGGGGCATCGTAAATTGAAAAATACATCAAAGGCGACAAATCCTGTATCAGATAACATTGTTACATTCATTTTCAAAACTCTGGAAAGGAGTCTTCTCATTCCCCAAATATATAAATAGCGTTGTTCAAAGAAGAGGTGATGCAGAACAATGGAAAACATACCCCAGTCTGAATTCCTCTGGAACTTGTTGCTGGCATTAGTTGTAACAAGCATATATTCTTCATAACATACCACATTTCTCAGTTCCAATGATTGGTGTGCTTTCTTTGAACAATTTTCCATCACATATTAAGTGGTGTTCAAACATTTTTCAAAGAAGTGGTGCAGCGTCCCAACTCTTCTGGAATTGGTTTTGTATTTGTAGTTCCTGCTTGGTAATGACAGTACTTGCAGGCTTGCAGGTCTTCTGGGCAACTCTAAAATTACCTCAGAGAGTGCCTGTTTGATCGTCTCTTTCTTCTCCACTTGAGCAGTGGCCTGCGCCTCATACATGGCTGACTGCTGTTTCACCTTCTCCAGGTCCTTTGTCAGACGCTCCACATACATATCCTGATAAAGACAAACATGTTCAGCAGATAAAAGCTCGATAATCCATGATAATGCCTTGTGGTTCAAAACAAGCTGTTTTGGATGTGAACTGTCTATCCACCTGCTGTAGTTTCTGCTCTTCAGCTTGGTTCTTCCTATGTCCCGCTTTTTTCCTGGCATTCTTCTTAACTTTCACATCACTGCGCAAATCCTTACTCAATCCTTTTATGAAGGTGACCTGTTTCATCAGTTTGTCCAACTCAGCCTCTAGCTGAGCCACTATGGAAATAAAAAACACTAATCAATTTTATCCTGGGCCTTTGCAGTCACTGTCTTGTTATTGCTGAAACATTGTTTTATAGTTATCAGGACTAAACCGACGGATATGTCCTTTAAGTCTCTTCAACTGAGTTTAACTGTTGGTTTTTCATAAAAAGCATAAAAATCTGAATCTTAAACCTAAATTGCAATTCAAACCAAATCCTTGGCAATAAAGTAACAATCCTGGTGCTGCAGTCCACACTGCCTCAAAAAGATACTTGCATTCTGAAATTCAGCGCAATTTCAGGGGTTGAACAGCCAACAAAAACAGATCAGACATAGTTCTCCATTAAATTACATGACATAAATAGAGTTGCTCTGACTTCCTAAAAGCCCTTTTGTGTTAGGCTTGTTTGTCTATATTTTCTCTCCTGGGTGGATGTGGATAACAGATGTAACTGTGTGAGAGGCACAGGATTATAGTTTCTGAATATGACCAAAAAAAAAAAAACATTATAATGAACTGTTTCAAAAAAATACAACTCCAGCCTATCCTCTAAAACTTGCTGCTGTACTTTCTGATATGCTGTCAATCATGAGAATTGTTACAAATTATTTCTATAACGTTAAATTCCTAAATAAAGATAAAGACAGATGGATCAAAAATCCTGGGGGAAAGAGGATACAGTTAGCCTCACCTTTGGCTTTCTTTTCGTCGTGTCTCCTTTTAGTTCTGGTAAACTCTCTCCTCGCATCCTCCAGTTTTGCCTGTGACTGCCGGCGTTTGGCTTCTGATTCTGACTTGGCTTTACAATCCTCCTCCAGCCCAGCCTTAGATATAGCAAGCTGCTTCTTGAGCATGTCTAGCTCAACACTCTGTTCCTGGAGTTTTTTGTCACTTGCTTTCGAATATGCACGCTGGGAAAATAGCAGAGAGATAAAGAGATCATCAAACTACTCTACTGGCTATTCAGATAATCCTTCTATACTTTCTTCTGTTTGAAACTTGAGTTTTCCTTTGGGGATCTTATCTTTTCTTTCATACTTAAATGTTTCTCCTTTTTTTCATGATTTTTTTATTGTTGAAGACATGATTTATCTGTAGGACAGCAACTCAAAATAAACAAAAAAGGTTCGCTTCAATTTCTCTACAGGTCAACAGCACCATCTTCTGGACATACAGGGACCAAACACGTAAAATCAAGGGAGTGTTGTGTTTTTATTTTGGTCTATGTGTGTATGTAAGGGAGAGTTAACAAAATCAAAAAATAAGTTTTTGACGTTCAGTGACATTAGCCCACCTTTTCCTCCAGACTCTTGTTGACACTCTCCAGCTCCTTGAGCAGCTTTTCGCGAACAGCTGCTTGATACTGTATGACCAAGGGCTGCCCGACAGATGAAACAAAACACAACAGTCATGAAAGAAGGCAACAGAAATATCAACCAACTAAATATGAAACAACTGCTTTTGGTGTAAATATAATTCTTTAAAGCCCAAGCTAAGTCTTAAGGATCAATTGTGCACCTAACATACCAGGCAGAAAAACAGGCAAAAAGCCCCTTTCAAACAAAAACTCCAGGCATTTTCTAGACCCTAAATGACCCTGGGCATTTGAAGTTACACGTGATCTTTAAAACACAAGTTTTTTTCCTATCAGACACACTCTCATAATTCAGTATATTCCTTTGTTTTTGGTGAACGGAGAAGGCAGGTGGAACATTTTTACAAAGGTAGCTGTTTCTGTGGTTATAATATTACATTGTGTATAAGCACAGGAAACAACATTAGAAAACATTATAGTGACCACTGAGGAAAGCAGCGCTGAGTGCAAATAAGAGAGACTCCGCTCAACCTGATTGTCATCACTCTGCCCACTCGCTCATAGTGAATTCTTGTGCCTTTTCCAACAGCATTCACACATTGGTTTACATAAATCTCTTGTGTACATTTTAAAGAAGGACTGGCAGGAAGAAATGTGGATTGCAGTGGGTGAAAATTCTGCCAATTGCATTCACAAACAACCAATAAAGTCAGGAAATACCCTGGAGTCTTGTGCATGCGTGAAAAGGGCCATTGATGGCATTATTCAAATTTAGGAGCATTAACATTCAATCGATAAAAAGATACAGACATGCTCAGGGTCAAGAGTAGGTAAGTTTCCCCCCTCCTCCTCCTCTGGCAGTGGATTATGATCCTCCATGTCTTCAGATCGCTGAAGGTCTGAGGTACAAGGTATGTAAGGCGACGCCTGAAAAACATCCTCCTGCACTGAAATGCAAAAGTAGATAGCATGTAAAGTATGTAAGGCAGTGCCTTGATGCAGACAAAAAGGGGGGAAAAAAGAAAACCAATGCAGAGTTAAAAAGTACTTGTGGGTATTTAACTGAAAGTGCTTTAAGTATTTTATATTATTTTATTGTCTTTTTCTGACTATTTTCTGAAGTAATGGCTCTTAACCTTGGGGTCCCAACTCCTGTTGAGGTTTCAAAATATTTTGGTCATCATGTAAGAAAATGATCCCATTTACACAATGCTGATTAATGACTGCATTATCTTTTCATGGAGAGTTATCAAAGATGCCAGCAAGAGGTGGACAAGGGACTATATTCAGCCAAGAAGTGTCACAGACAAAGTAATGATATTGATGGAGTCATAACTCAAGAAGGTTGAGGACCACTGCTTTATAGTATTTGTTTTTTTTGTTCTTACCACTTTGATCAGAGCGAGGCTGGGCACTTGAGGCATCCAGCTCTGGTCCTGGCTGATCCTGAGAGGGCTGGAAGGACACAGACATGCAGCTTATACATAAGTTTGTGACACTTATACTGATCTGAATTTTTCCACTTAAATATATGTTGCAGGTCTGCATTTTAGACTTCATGGAATTAGTTAATTTCATTTTTAAAGGACAAACATATTATACAATACCACGCTTGGATATCCTGTATATTTGTACTTTACAAACTTTGTAGTTAAGACCAACAATGCAACATCACAGTATCCCAACAAATCCTGGAACGATATCTAAATGTATTCATATGGCGTTATGAAAGGAATAATATCCCCTGGACAAAAATGATGGAATATTCTTCTGTGACAAAGCAGTTTACCTGAGGAGTGACTGTTGCTCCACTGTTCCCTGAGGCCTTATCACTTTCCATCCCGTCTGTCTCTCTGCCTGTGTCTGTGTTGTCTCTTTCTTTCTTTCTCTCTTCTTTAGCCTTGATATATATGAGAGCGAAAGAGAGAGAGAGAGAGAGAGAGAGAGAGAGAGAGAGAGAGAGAGAGAGAGAGAGAGAGACTCTCTTGTCATGGTTTAACGGTGGTCAGGCGATAAGCTGTTTTTTCAATTGTGACTGGGAAACCAAATAACACTTATCTTGTTTATTTTTTCTGTTTGTTTGTTTTATTGTTTTCTCAACTCTCTTTTCTCTGTTTTGGCTGTTTCGAACAGAAAGTTTGAGCACTAAATGAAAACGCCATCCTAGCCGTTAACGTTAGTTTGCTTTCCCTTGTAAGCCCGACCTCAGCTCGAGTAAAAGCGAAAAGGTTCGGTTAAGCACAATAAACCTACAATGACGGTAGCGGACGGTAGTATAAGATTTAAGTAACTAACTTATGGAGCAACATCATACAAATAAAACGTTTCTAGATGCATCGGTGCTAATGATTTAATCTAATTTTGATACTATGAACGCTTTAATTACTTACCGCTAACACACGAACAACTCCAACTGTTGCTAGGCAACCGCAAACTTCCGTTAGAAGGCGAGGCGCAGCAGGTCATCGACAGAGCAGAGGGCGTGGTTAACACTGGCAGGGGATTCAGAAAAAGAGACGTTGCTTCTCTTTCTTCAGAAAGAACAGGTTTACCTTTTTATAATAGTTTAGTTAAGACTTGACCCTTTCCTGTTAAATATACAGCGATCAGCCTGAACCCACACAGACGAAACCTTTAACAGAGGATTAAATAAACAGTTATCTCCTGACTGAGCATGTCCAAAAAAGTTTTGTAAAGTTAAAATTTAAGGTAGAGCTCCATGAGTGTCCATCAAATTGTTTTAATCTTATTCAACTTTGACAGAGCATTTTAACATGCAGATAACCTATCTTTCAGACAGAGACGAACTCGTGTTGGGAGGTTTTAAAAAACAAATCAAAACCAATGTCACAAATTTGGAGGTGGTTTTTGATTCTGATTTGAATTTTAGTTCTCATTTTAACATGATCATCTCCTTTTCATTTTATCATCTAAAGAATATTTTAGAAGTTATGACATTTTTATACCAGAAAGATGCTGACATTTTGATTCATGCTTGCAGCTGCATTGATTACTATGCTAACTTTTCAATGGTCTGCCAAAAGTCTCTCAGAAAACTACAGCTTATTCAGACCACTGCAACCAGAGTTTTATCACACACACACACTGATTACATTACCCCCCCCCCCCCCCCCCCTTAAAACTCTGCACTGGCCTCCTGTTTCTTGATTTTCTGGTTCTTAAAAAAATAAATAAATAAAGCTTTTCATAACCTTGCTTGCCCCTACATCCCAAATCCGTTCTCTTTTATTTACAAACCAGTTCTCTGAGGGAATGCTTCCATTTTGGGCCTGGCACACACTTAAAGATTTCTAAAATATGCTCATAGTTGTGGTAAGAGGGTATACTCATTTGAATGGTATACTAATAAAGCTGAGCTGTGTTTATAAAGTGCTTAGATGTTGTCCTCTGTTTACAGTTGTGTATATGTCTCATGTTGATTACTGTATGACACAGTTGGGCATAGACACAAATATCATAATGAGACCACAAGATGTCAGTGTAACACAGCTGTCCGTCTGTATCCTCACTCTTTCTTTCTGCCCCTGTCTCTATCTCCTTGTCTCACTCTCACCCTTTAACACACACTCATACTTCTCAAATTCAGCTCCAACACAAGGTCAGCCTTCATGCTGCCTTTATTAGTAATATCATGACCACATAGTCTACTTCCAGTCACTGCCCAAGCCCCTCCATCCTCTCCAGGAAGCCCACACAGCTATGCATGTCCAGTCTAATTTAGCAGAGATTAGGAGAGGAAACCCCTTTGTTACCCTTGTGCCCACCCCCCTGTCCTGTGGTTGGTTTGATCTTGGTCCTTAGCTGTCAGCTGGTGTACAGAACTATTTTGGTTGGGTGCAAGGAGATTTTTTGGTCTGTTGTTTGTACTGAGTCATAAGAATTGGCTTGGGACATAGTCTGTGGTTAGGACAGAGCCAAATTGTACTTTGGAAATTATGAAAAAATATAATGTTCAATCACAGAAGTTAATGGAAACTAGAAATAAAAGAATGTACTTAACGAGATCCAGAGAGGAAATTAGACCACAAGAGAAAATGTGTAAAAATCAACATGTGCTAAAAGAAAGACAAGGCAAAGTCAAAGTTCATTATGTTCTTCATGTTCCTAGCATCCTGAAAACATCTTGTTTCCTTTCCACAATTTCATTTTTTCCCACATTAATTGAGCCCACCGCCGGGATGGCAAACAAGGAAACATCTCTGCTGTTGACCAAATGTTCTAAAGTTTCAAAGGCAAGTCCAACAAACTATTGTATTGACTACAGAACTAAGCATCTACACATTTTCATTGCTTCCTCTGCCTATCCTCTCTATATGGAGATGAAAAGATCTTTCATGTTGTTTCCTCTTGTTGCATTATTTATTGCCGTGTGGCGCTTTATTAGCTGGTTTCATCTCAGATTTCACAGGCTGTTTTTGGAGAAGCCTTTGAAATGTGTTTCTGACTCCAAACAATCCTTTCCCCTGCTTTCTCTCACTTGCTCAAGTCGCCTCTTCTCTCATGATAAAAAGCCTTCCCCCTGATTTTCAAAGCAAACTGAGCCACCCTCTGAAGCCAAAATCCATTCAATACTGTCCTAAGGAAGAGAGCTGTTGTTCTTGTTTCATGGCTGACATGAAAGGAGCACAGAAGAACCTCTTTGTCATTAGCCTTATTAGCATCATTAGCGCAGTATGGATGAACTTCAAATGATTGGCTTGAAGTTATTTGTGTTACCACACATGCAACATGAGAACTATTTTATGTTCTGTGTTAGAGACTGTGGCAGTGTGAAAGAGGTGGGGGATTTTAGTAGAAAGCTGACATGTTTCAGAAACAGCCACTAGATGGTGGAGCTACTATTCTGATTGAGCCTGAGTGGCTGGGGGGAAGTGAAATTACTGGAAGAAATTTGAGATTTGGGGATAAAAAGCCACAGTACCACAATGTTGAATAGAACCGCTTGGTCCTAACCTTAACAAACATCACCGAGCCAAATACAACCTCTGAAATAGTTAGTTATGTCCACATATATTTGACTGTCACATAATGAAGGGTTCCCTCCAGTTAAAGCATTAGTATTTATTCAAGATGAAACAAAGAAAGAGGACAAAGCCAGAAGCACCCCTTCTGAGTCACACAGAGGTGGCATTAACTATGTGTGCATACAAGTATACACTTAAATGAATACCATGTTTTCACACTTTATATCTGCCCTCATCATATCTTACATGAACGTATTACAAATAAATAATATATTTTTTTTAACTTTAAAAAACAGATTTTAACAAAGTGATAGCATTTGGTCTTTTTAAGCTGAAATCCTCCAGGATTAAAAAAATTAGATATCTGTAGCTACTAGTGTTCAAACCAAATGCACCAATATTTTACCAACCTTATAATTAACAGCCAGTGTACAAGAGTCCTCAGGTTTTGAAAGACTGAGCACCTGTCCCATGAAATATAGTTATTTTAACTTTTTAAAGCACTACCAAAAAGAAAGGAGTGGATTTAAAATGGAAAGAAAGCTACAGGCAGCCTGTTGAAACACAGACCAAGTAGTCAATCTAAATGGAAATTTTATCTCTGAAAAGGCAAAAAGCAAATCATTGTTTAGTAAAACTAGATTTTAAGGGCACTCATGTCACCCTTTACCACCCTCTGGAGACACCTCTGCATCAAGTTGCATGACAAACAGTTTAAGATGGCAAAAATGTGATTTATTAACTGAGAAAGAGGGTTACAGATAATAGGGGATGTAAAATTTAAATTTTAGTGTGTGTAATGAATGAAGACAAATATCTGCAGAACTCTTTAATTATTAGTGCATGAGAAGATGCAGAGAAATATCTCACTGTAAATGACAATAAAGGCAGAAAGCTCTCCATTGACTGGTTAAGAGCTTAAAATGCCAGCATGACTCTGGAATCAAAGCGGCCACCATGCTGAGTGACGGTTGGGATGAAGGTAAAAGAAGAAAAGGGTTGGCAGATTTGGGATAGCATGTGAGCAGTTGGTGGTAGGGGTTGAGACCTATGTAAACTTAATGGCTCAGTTTTTTTTTTTTTTTTTTTTTTCTGCCTTTGGCTCCTTGCATCTTTATCAGGAAGCTCCAACCCCTCTGCAGCTGATGGTTGATAAGCCCAGCAGGCCTGATTTGGTTTGAACTCGTCTTTTATTCATTCCATCTCTCCCAGTACCCACACCTCCACAATGGCCCGGTTTCTCCTGGCAGGCCTTAATCTCTCTCCCTAATCGACTGCAGACGTGAGGTTTTGCCATTCCCCACAGGGCTGTGCATGGGATATGGCCAAGTTCTCAGAACGAGTGCAGAGGTACTCAGTGCAAGAGCAGCTGAAGAGTTGTCTCTCAAAGGTTACAGAAATCCTTGTGTTGAGCTGTCATAAGATCTCATTTTTAAGTGATAGAGCTCAAGTGTAGCCCATGTTACAGAGGAAACAGTGAGGTCATCAGAATGTAATCAGCAGACTTTCATAACACCGACAGAGGTAAGACACTCCTCTATGGGGGTTTCAATCTCCTGCCCACTCAGGCCGTCCTTCCACAGAAAAGCTGCACAATGTGGCAAATCATCTACTTCTGCATCAAATAAAATGCACAGTAACACATCCTGCACATAAAACAGAAAAAAACCCATCATTTTCATGTTGGACATCAGCTCCAGGACAAGTAAAATGACCGGAAATCAAGTCTGCTTGGATTGGTTACTATAAGTTAATGACATAAACTCCTTAAACCACATTGTCTTCTGGCTGGCTCCTTTATATGAAGAGGGTTGGAAGAGCAGTGCAAGAAACAGGTAGAACCCTCGAGCAGAACCAGACTCACGTTAGACTGTCATCTGCTGAGACTGAGCTGGGT